GGCCCAGTGCATTGTGATTGGCCGAACACCGCAAGCACTCGTCGGAAATGTAAGGCCCCTTACCATTATCGCTAGCGTCAGCTTTCAAAATAAATGTAAAGACAGAGCCGAAAGGGAAACAGAATCGCGTGACAGACACAGTGATGAAGCTGGTATGTCGTTTCACTCTCCCAAAAACGCCGGATCCATGTGGACGAAACGCCTATATATACCATACAAAATGTATGTGTATACAGCTAAACGCGTCTCCGTGTGGACAGGGCCTTAATTTTATCCATAGTTCCTTACAGTGCATTCAAGATATAACATTTTCAAATGCATGTATTTTCTGGGCATCAAACCCATGACCTTTAGTCTAATACTCTAGACATTATGTAATAATGACCTAAGAAGAGGTTTATATATATATATACATACATACACTTACATAAAAACCTCAAGAAACAGAGGGATTTTGGTCAGATTTGGTCTCTTTCCCTCTTGGAGCAAAGCTCAACTGAACCACCACCCCATAAACCCTGGAATTACCCGTCTCCCAGCAACCAAGTACTCTGTTTCCATGGAGACCAGCACACCTGTCCAATCAAGACAAAGTGTATTAAAACATTAAAAAACATCATTGTGGGATTTTCAGACACCATGGCAACAAGAAGAGATAATCCTAAATTGCGGGATTATGGATGACCCGGTTAAATTAATGATTATTTTTTTAGGATTTGACCTTTCCAGGGATAAATCTCACATGTGGCAAAATTAGCTAAAGGCCATTAATGTTTTCTCTAATCACTTTACAGATAACATTTTACAGAATTTACCATGTTTAGGTGTCAACATAGAATTACAGATACTGTAAAATAATTTAAAATCACATAAAAAATAAGTCAAGTATAAAAAATTAGTCAAGAATAAAATGGGCAAACAGCTACAATAATCCACAAACTCAGCCGGATTGGTGTTTTACAACTAATCTGAGAGCAAGAAACTATTTCAGAGGCTGACATTTGGAAAATAATTCTAAATGTTTGGCTAAATTTACCTTTTCCAGTGGAGACTGAGACCAACAATACTTCTCTCTCTCTCTCTTGTCTCACACACACACCCCTTACCCTCCTGGGCAGAAAGTGAAAGTTCGCTCATGAGTTCTTATGTAACCCTACCAGACATCTGACTGAACACGTACATTACGTAATCTCAGAGAGACGGAAAAGATACATGCTGTCAGATTCTGTTGCCTCTATTTATGCATTTTTTGGACAAGCGAAAGTGAGAAGCATCATCCATGAAAATCCAAATGCACACATATTTGAGTGTCATTTTTAGACTGTACGTAGAAGGCAGATGAAAGTTGAATAAAATCACCTCGTAATCAAGCATTTTCACATGTAGAGTATATATAACAGAATAAACTGGTACAATTAAACATCCATCCGTCTGTAAACATGTGAACGTTATCGAGTGCACCTCATGCTGGTGGACTAAGCGTTTTGAGTTGGTTACCATTAGAAAGACAACAAATTCATACCGACTTTACATTAAAAGTAAAATGAATCCATAAAACATTTATTTAGATCTATTTGCTTGTTTTAATGGGGAGAAATTGATCAGGAAATGTCATTATTTGGATTTGAACTTGCGACGCTTAAGGCAAAATGCCGGAGGATGTGAACTAACTGCTAGGCCTCGCTTTCGACCCCAACAAGATTATTAAAAACAAATCAAACTATAATAAACTAAAGCAGGGTGTTCCAGTTGTTTTTTTTTGTGTGTGTGTGTGTGTGTGTGTAATGCAGGCCTAATGCAGTCTCCTGAGAGACACACCCTGCCTTATTTGCTGCCTCACTTTGAACGCACATAAACACCCTGAAAAAGCCAACTCTAATACAAGCGAGATGCCGTCTCGGACACCAGATGAGGTCTTTCTGCAGTGTAGGCTAAACAGGAAGCTGATTGTTTTATACACGTACACACTAAAGATAACAACCTGTGTTAGACTCCGACTCAGTGAGTCAGTGTGAGAGTGTAGGATGATTATTACAAAAATAATCATGAGTGTTCACACACGGGAGAACCAAGGCTATATGACTGAGCATCAGACGCTGTGAGTGTTTGTGTGCAGTGTGAAATGTAGACAGACGTACGTGAGGAGACCAAATCAAGACGACTGACTAACAACACCACTGACTATCAGCTCCCACAGAAGACCCCTCTTGCTCAACCTCTCTTCTTCTGTACCACTTTGTCTTCTTTCTTTCAGTGTCACATTATCTCCTTATTCTATTTTGCAGTCTCTTCTCAAGTTAGTATCACAATTATGTAAATTAGTAGGTGTGAACTCCACTAAAAAAAGATGATTAATGACGATTATAGTGTACAAACCATGCAGAACAATGCTAGCATACTACCAGGGTTAGGGAGTAACGAAATACATGTAACGTTGTTATGTATTTAAAGTACAAAATATGAGTAACTATTTCGTTATAGTTACATTTTAAATGGGTGGTAATCAAATTACAGTTATATCCAAATAAAAGTTATATTTGTATACAGTTATATTGTCTATATGAGTTCTTGTTTTCTATATTTATAACATCTGGTATGGTTAAGCAAAATCAGTCGAGGAAGAAGAGTACTGTTTGCCTGAATATTAGCACAATTGCAAATATGATACAGATTTTTTGCAATTCAAAATCAAAAAGTTAATATTACGTAACTTACATTAAAGAACAGTATTTCTGATTTGCTCTATATTGCCAACAAAAACAGTTTCAAATATGGAGTGTCTATTTGCACTAAGTGCACATAGCCACCTTGTTGGCAGAGGCTATTTAGAGTAACTGCATCCACCAAAGTCTAGTTGCAATACACATAAATACAAAAGACACATATTTAAAAACAACAGTGGTGTAGAGGAATATAGAGGAACTTCTGACGCAATCGACCCGAGTTTGAATCCGCCTTTCGCTGAACTCGTTCTACTCCCCTTCTTCTCCCTTTTCCCATCACATATCAGATCAGAAAGGCATTTTTTTTCAATAAAAATAAAGAAAATATTCAAAAAGTGGTGTGACCAACTTGAACACACTGCAAAATCTGTTTGGTGAAAAACTTCACCTCACAAAATTGCTAACCTCACTGATTCCAATTGAAATGGCCCACTTTAGTATGTTATTGCGAACTTAGCCATAATATCTTAGAAACTACCAGACAAAACATAGAAGTGCCATCTTAAATCCCACTGGCCAAATGCTCAAAGCCTGACAGAAGGATAACAGGTTGTGGAAACGTCAAAATAAAGTTGTTTACGTAGCCTGTGACGTAAACTTATGGTGGGATTGGGAACAGCTTTAGACTGTTGCAAACACCTTCCCATCATAAACTTGCACCCTGACCCAGAGCAAAATCAGATTCACACAAACTCTGAGGCATCACATTATGTAAATATGTAATCTCATATATCACCATTCACCCTCAATAACAGACACTTTCTTTTCTCTGTAAATGGCCAAAAGGATACGAGGTGTTCCCTCCGTTCGGCAGACGAGGTAGAGGCAAGCGGCGATGACATGGGATGATTTGCGCCCTCTGGTCAGATGCTTGGAGAGGGCCATCTTGTAAAAGTTGAAGGCAGTGTCCAGACAGTGCCGAGTCATTTGAAGCTGATGACCAAGATGGTTTATCTGTCGCTTAGCTGAATAAAACAACCAAAACACCACAGTCAGGCTTTTTACAGCACATTTACAGCAGGTTTAGTCCCTTTGAAGTTAACACGCAAACACACAATGGTAAAAGGTCCTGGTTTGCCCCTTCTGGGGTTTGAACCAACAATCTTTGGGTTACCAGTCCAACTCTATGTTCTGTTTAAATCTAAACAAACAAGAACAACTGAAGCACTTTGGAATTAATTATTTTAAACCAGACAGGGAGCAAAACTATTGCCTCATAGATTATTCTTGGTTTAGCATTTTCCTAAGCAAACATGGAACGGAAGTAGTGACAGATCTTTTCTTCCATATTTGAACGTACATTCAAGAGTAACAGATTAGCAGAAAAAAAAACTATATTGTGGGGAAATACATTTTCACCATGTTTTAGGAAGAAAATCCTGTATAAATCAGGCAAATGATACGTGAACAAACCCCTCTGTAAAACCCTTCAGAATATGGAATATGAATAAAACTGGAAAAATTCTGGTAAGTGTTACTGAAGAGTACATTTCCGTCTCAGTGCAGGAGAAACAAATTAATTTTAGATAAAATGTGATAAACACTTAAATATGCATCTAAACACTAAAATCGATCAATCAATCAAAAAAATTTACCAGTGTATGAATAGATAAAAAACAAACAATGGTTTTGCCTGTAGTCCTGCTTTAGGCAAACTAAATTACTGGAGAAGTCCTCCATACATCACCAGAGAGAGGTCGATCATTTGGATACATCATTCACAAATGAGATTTTAACACGAATTTTAGAAAGCAGATAAGGTGAAGTCTGGTATAAATATAGTAAAGTGTGTAATTTTCCTATTCCAGTTGCAGTGGACTATAAGTAATGCCTCTACTATAAGTAATAAAGTAGTACTTCTACTATTTTTAAAGTTAACACCAAAAAATGATAGTTTAACTATAGTCAAAATACTTACAGCAATTATGTGCGTTTCTACAAAGTTACTACAAAGTAAAGGTTTAGTTACATTCTGTATGAGCACCTGCTGTGGACGTGCTGTTTGAGAACACATATGAACCCCTTTAGAGTGGGAGGAGAGCATCTTCAAGCTGAAAGCAGGTCTGTTTATACAGACTCAAGATCTCACAGAGCATCTTTTGTTCTCTCACCACACACAGATAGTATAAATCTTTATGCAGACATGAGGCCATTAATCACACGTGTACATACCCACACACACACACAAATAAAGTGGCCTCTGCATTTCCCTCCCAGCACACACAGACCATACGGTTTGTCTGACCAAACTGATTCATCGGTTACTACACAAAAGCACATAAACGCACCACATCTTCTGACTTCTCAGGCTTAATAAGCCTCTTTCAAAACAACCATTACCATCTGGCTGAAACGAACCTGACACACTTAACTTGAAACCACATTACACAAGCCCACAGCTTCCAAAGAATCCCACTTTCTTATAAACACAGGACGCATATACTTAACAATCTTGCTCAATCATGTTGTTCAATGGAACGGAACATTATACGAACATATCTAAACACACAATACTGTACAAGTTTTAAATTGTCAGTGACACATAGTATTGTCTCATATTCACAGGAAATCAGTTTTGAAATGCTTTGGCAAACTTAGGAACTACATATTACAAAACACAATTTATACCTTTAAATAAAAAAATCCAAAACAGACTTTACAATGATACATATATAATGCAAAGAACATGAAATTTGTATGATAGAATTAACATCTATAACTCTGTATGAAGGAATCAAGGCAAAGCATTCAAATATTTAGATTACAAACTCTATGAGAAATTAATGAAAGCCATATAAAGGGTATAGAGGTACCTTAAGCATTTCACATAAAATCGAAAAAGTTAAAACAATTAAGCAATTTGGGATCACTATGACTTTTTTTTTTTCAAAAAGAAATTAAGGGGGTCATATGACATTGCTAAAAAAGAACATTAGTTTGTGTATTTGGTGTAATGCAATGTGTTTATGCGGTTTAAGTTTCAAAAAACACATTATTTTCCATATAGTGTACATTATTGTTGCTCCTTTATGCCCCGCCTTTCTGAAATGCATCAATTTTTACAAAGCTCATCCTTCTAAAAAAAGCGAGGTATACGCTGATTGGCCAGCTATTCAGTACGTTGTGATTGGACGAATGCCTCAAGCGTGTGACGGAAATGTTAAGCCCCTTAACATACTGCGATGCCGTCTCCCAGCAGGACGAGAAAAAACCAATAAAACCCATTACAAATTAGGCATTTGTTGCATCAAGTGGGGCCATAATTACTGATTATAATGACTTATACTGTCTTTTTACGCGTTGAGTTGCATATCACACTGCATAAACATAAAATTTGTGATTGGAGAAACAACAAGCCTGCTCAAAACTCACGAATCATCAGTGGCAAATTATTTAAATATAAAAAATTTACTTACAGGCTGTGAGTCAGAAGCGACAGACTGTCCTTGCAAAGTTGGAACTGCCCAACTTTATAGAAACAGCCTTTGTGCCACAGATGCAGTGTAGGCTACTGATTCAGGAAACAGTCCTCATCCTCCATAAAATGCACAGCACACATCTGAATATTTGGGTTGAACTGTTCTAGGAAAAATTGAAATCGCATCATATGACCCCTTTAATACTTTTATTCAGCATGGACCGATTAAAATGCATAAAAGTAACAGTAATTTATCATGTTACAAATTATTTTTTATTTTAAATAAACACTGTACTGTTGAACTTTCTATTAATTAAAGAATCTTAAAAAAATGTATCATGTATCCAAAACTTTAAGCAGCTTTTTTTAACATTGATAATAATAAGCACTAAATCAGCATATTAGAATTATTTCTGAGGGATCATTTGACACTGAATTCTGGAGTAACGGCTGCTGAAAATCCAGCTTTGTCATCATATAAATAAATAAAATATATGAAATGGAAAACAGTTATTTTAAATGGTTATTAGTTTGTCTAATCAAATAAATGTGGCTTTGGTGATCAAACTTGCAAAAACATTAAAAAAAAAACTTGGTTAGATGAAGGGCATATGAATTCTTCATGAATAGCATATACTGCATATGAACGCTCACCATTCTGCAGAGTGGCAGCTCTGGACTCCCTCCCAACCCCAGTGTGGAAGTTTCCTCCCAATGATGGCACATTTCCAGATGCTACAACGAAGCAAAAAATAAAATATATTAGTAATGAGGACAGGAAAACATTAATCTCATAACCAAGCATTACAGTATGTCTTTTCAATATCAATACTTTCGGTTTCTTTTTTCATTTGTTAGACTAATTAAACTTTTCTTTCTTTTTAATATTTATGTTATTAAATGATCTACAATTTATATAATTTTTTGTTTTATTATGCCTCTGTGAACCACTTTGTATTACCACTGTGCAAATAAACTTGCCTTGCCTAGTAATCTTCAGCTTACCCAATACTTCTAATGAATTATCTTACAAGAAAGGTAAAAACAACACACATATTTAAATCTAATACTAGCCAAATATAGATGAGCATTTTTTTTTAACAAGCTAAGATGTCGCCTCGGATGGCTGCCTCGGTGTGGAGCTCTACAGTTGTACCACATCCTGCACTTCAATAACTGTCTGGTTTGGCTTAGCTACAAAATCAGATATCAGAAGAATACAGAGGACGGTTCGGACTGCTGAAAGGATCATTGGTGCTCCCTTGCCCACCCGTCAAGAACTGTATACATCCAGAGTGAGGAAAAGGTCTCAGAAAATCACTCTGGATACCTCACATCCAAGGCATGTCCTTCTTGAACTTTTGCAGTCTGGTCGGTGCTACAGAGCCCCAAACAACAGGACAGCCAGGCACAAGAAAAGTTTCTCCCCCCAGGCAATCTACCTTATGAACAGTTATGAACAGCTCTCCCCATTGTGCAATAAAAATATGTTCAATGTCCACTTATATTTATTTGATACCACCCTACATCTTATTCTATTCCATCTATAGCACACCTGTACATAAATGTTTTGTCTATTTTTATTTATGTATATACATGTGTATTTTATTCATATATCTTTATTTTTTTATTATCTGTGGGTTGTTGTTGTTGTCTCTGTGTACTGGAAGCTTCTGTCACCAAAACTAATTCATTTTATGTGCAAACATACTTGGCAATAAAGCTCTTTCTTACTTCTGACAGGCAGATTCCACTATCAGTCTTCATTGCAAGATATTATTAAATAAAAAACATGACAGCCATCTGCTGTTTGAAGATGGTATTGCAGTTCAAAACAAAATCTCCCTTTTCCCACTTAAATGAGTCTGGGGAGGAACCATCTGTATATTTAAATATATTAATATTAAATATTAATTTGACTATTATTAATTTGATTAAACAACTTGCCCCCATTTGAATTATCATACTAGGTTGTTCTATAAACAGTTTTCAAAATTGTGTGAAGGTTATAAAATTCATAAAAGTTAGATTATTCAAAACTAGATATTTCATCCAAGAAATTCCTTGAACATTGTATAAAAACAGAAACAGATTTTAATAGCATATAAACACAGGCTGATAGGTGACTGAGAGAACACAACAGATCATTTAGGTGATTTACAACTCAAAAGAACAGTTTCCAGTCAAGGTTACTAACAACCCTATCTACTGGATGCCTATGTTTGAACACTTAAGACAATATTTCCACAAATTCATTCTTATGTAATTCCCTATGTGAGAGAGAATGAGACAAATGGACATACAGACAAATAACAGGAGAGGAAACAATATAGCTTTTGTTTGTTTTGGTTTCATTCTGATCTTCTGAGGTACATAGACAGCATATTCAGTTTCTCAAAGCTCAAACTAATTATTCCTTCATTTATATATTAAAACAAATTCAGAGCAAAATTGTCTTTGTGTGGAGTAGATGAACCATCACTCACAGTCACCAGCAACAAATTGGCCGACGGCGGACAATCCTCCTCCACTGTTCTCCACGAAGGTTACCTCGGAAACGATGATGTTGTCCTCCAGCACGGAGCCGCAGCCCATGCACACAGCATCGCCCCGTGCCTGGTCCACATCAATGTCCGTCCCCCCACAGTTCTTACACCTCCTCATGGTCACGACCAATCAGCTCACACAACACTGGGAATGATCTCTACATGCATGTAAAAACACAATAGAGAACACCGAGTGAATCCTAGGCAGAGCTACATCTAAGGTGAACGGCATCAATGGCAAACTGAGAAAGCAATATTATGGACAGAGGACTCATATTTTAGCCGGAAGCAGTGATTTGAAGTTAAAAACATCTTAATAATGGATTTGTTTATTAAAAACATGAAGCTTTTCGCTTCACAAGACTTTAATTGATGGAGTCATGTGGATTATTGTAATGTTTTTATCAGATGTTTGGACCCTCATTCTGCCGGCACCCATTCACTGCAGAGGATCCATTGGTCAGCAAGTGATGTAATGCAAAATTTCTCCAAATCTGTTCAAAATTTCTCCAAACCTATCTACATCTTGGATGGCCTGAGGTAAATTTTGAGCAAATTTTCATTTTTGGGGGGTGAACTACTCCTTTAACAACAGTTATTTTATTCTATTGACAGCCCTAGTTTTAAACCAAAAAAAATTAACACCAAATCTGTTTTTTATTATCATTTTGGTAACACTTTACATTAAGGTTTCATTTCTTAACATTAGTTAACTACATTAGTTAAGATTAACTAACAATGAAGAATACTTCTACAGCATTTATTAATGTTAATTTTCTACATTTGCTAATATATTTTTTAAATCAAAACTTGTATCTTTTAACATTGGTCAATGCACTGTGAACTAACATGAACAAACAATGACGAACTTATTCTTAAAAATAACAACAGTTTAAAAATGCTGTAAAAATATATTGCTCATAGTTAGTATGTTAACTTATTGCATTAACTAATGTTAACAAATCAGACCTAATTGTAAAGTGCTACCATTATTTTAGAGGTCGGAACATCTCACTTTATTAGTGTGAAGTAGGGCTGTGCGATATTGAAGAAAAATGCGATATGCGATAACTAATTAAATAATGCGATATTCGATATGCGATACGATAATGCTTAAAGTGCCACATGCTCAGATGAAACGGTTTTACTCAGCTGTTGCTGAGTCAGTTCTGTTAACTTCTATAACTATATTGTGTCATATATATATGGTTATTTATATGTATGTATGTATCAAGAGCTCCTGTAAAACCACAACAAATTCCTTGTGTTTTCGCACACTTAAGTGGTGAATAAAGCTCATTCTGATTCTGATTCTAATAAGAAAGAACCCTTACAACAACTTATGAAAGTGAACGGTAGTGTTTTACTCGAGCATTACATAAAAATGTAATTTTAACATTAGTGTAATCATTTTAACATGAGTTTAGGAACTGAATAATAAAAAGGAAAAATAAAAAACTGCTTAGTATTTACTCTTTGAATTCAATATGCACTGATTCCTATTTAAGCTACAAAAGTTATTTAGGTAAGAGCAGTGAGTATATGTACATTTGCGATATTTCGATATATTGCACAGCCCTAGTGTGAAGAATAAAAGACATGTTGCCAATTTAATACAAAATAAATATTCTTATCTTCACATACAGTCCAGGGCAAAAAAAGGTCCAAGCCCAAAATGGCTAAACACTACGCTTTTAATGGTCTTTACCACAAATTACAGGTAAAGAAATTAGTAAGAATTGAGTAAATGCACTCCTTAAAAACCCATTGCTGTCTCAGAAAATACATCAAAGGCAGAATGAAGTTTTTGGCAGAGTATGGGAAGTTTTATTTAGAGTGGTTCAGCAGAGTTGTGTAGAGTGATTAATTGTGATAGAAAAGGAGTTGCACGGTGATGCACCAGAGCGGTGTCTTTGAAGATTTGGTGAGAGATACAAAACTGAATGCATCTCTACCACAGTGAAGCATTGAGGAAGATGTCTGATTATGTGTGGAGCCCTTTCAGCTGCTGGTACTGGTGAGCTGCTTCACTATGAAAAGTCAATTAATGCTTTGGAGTCAATTAAAGTAAATTAAATCTATTCTGTCAATTAAAGTCAATTAAAGCTATTCTGCAAATATTGCAGAATAGCTTGTTCCCAAATGAAAAGTTATCTAAAGAGGAACAAGAAAATGCTCCTTCCCACACTGCAAAGACAACCAAGAAGAGGCTTGAGTCCATCAGGTTCATGTTTTGACCAGATCACAATCCAGATCTGAACCCTATAAAGAATATTTGGTCTCACATTAAACTCCAACTAACTAAATATTTAGCCATTTTGGCTTGGCTCATTTTTTCGAGCCCAGGAGTGTACATTTCAGTATTACATTTATTAATAATGATTACATTTTTTAATAATAATTTGAATTGGCCCTGTAAGGTCCACGCACTTGGCCCAAGGAAGGTATCCAGTGGTGGATGAAGGTTTCTTGCGTGTTCGGTCTTTTCACCGCGCAGAGTTATTCAATTTAGGTTTAACTCAAATCTGACTCCATTTTATTATCTAATCTGACTCCATTTTAGTATGACCTCGAATTTAGGTTGAAAGGCAAATTGGTTGTTTGTCGGTCTCTAATTATTCTGACATTTGATTATTCTAGTTAACTCTTTACTTTATATTTACTCGTTCATTAGGAATCTATGTCGCTCAGGGTGCCTCACGGCGGCCGCTATGCATGGGCCCCACGATCACAAACTCGCCAGTCTGATCCTTAGCCAGAGGTTCTGACCTGTCTCAGAAGATCAAAGTGTCTGAGGTTCTGTAATTCTTACAGCCCTAGTACATTGACAATATAAACGTCAATTATTTCATTTGGGAGACAACATGTATTTGTAATGCCACACAAAAATCGACAGCTGTCTTATTTTTAAGGAAGAGATATTTTTAAGGAAGAGATTTGGTATCACAACGTGTGAAAACACCTGTGTTACATAACATTCAGTGTTGTGGGTTCCCAGGTGATAAATTTGGCATCACTGGTCTAGGAACAACATTCAGAATTCTCATGTTAAAATACAGTCTATGGTTAAAAGCGGCACAGCAGCGCCGCTGAGAGCTCACGAAGCAAGCTGCGCCTCTAACAATCCCACGATGCATACTGACACAATCGGTACCCTTTTGAACGCCCAGGCCCCAGAACCATCTAAAACAGATCAGATCCTCTAAATGAACATGATCCTTGAGAGTCAAATGAAGTTACGCTCTTCTAATCACTGTCATGCAATCAGCACCGTTGCATCCACCTTGCAACGTGGCAATCTTCTACATGACAAGCAAATCTGGAATTCCCTAAAATCTGTTGAATAACTGTACCGATCTGTGCAGATGTCGACTGGTTAATTATTAAGATTAAAAAGAAGAAGTACCTCGAACTGTTGGAAGATAACCAAGCGCAGGCTTCAGCTGTCTGTCCAGAGACCCCGTAAAAGACCTTTAAGTTCCTGTCTGTCGAGGTTACAACTGTATATTCTTGCTTATCAGTCGTTTTACATGCTGTATCACTGATTTATTAACCAAAAACTGATATATTTCTCTACATGACAAGCCGGCAAAAACAGCCACATGTTTCCAGTCAGCGTGCGATACGGCTCATACCAATTTGAGTGCAGAGGGGGGTGTCCGCGTCCACTATAATACTGTAAGAGACAATGGCACCATATTATAAACGCTAGCGTTCTTTTTTTAAAGTAATTGTTACTCAAAAATATGTAAGTATAAAAGTATAGTACGCAAAATATCTCGTTGCTTGTTTTCCCTGGGTGATGACATGGTC